TAAAAAGTACATATCTTTTCTTCTTTTTTTTTTCTTTGAAGAGTTCAGTATTAGCGATTTCACAACTTTCTGTCTGATTTTCTTTGAAGGAGAACAATGAGGATGAAGCTTGAGGAAGCCTGACAGAAAATAGAGAACATCTTTTCTCTTGCTACGAATATCTCAGTTAATAAATAAAATCAAAAGTGGAATATGCCAGACTGCTCAAATAAAGACTGCAACAGCACTAATAACAGAACAAAAATGTAAACATTTTAAAATTTTGACCTGTCAGACAATAGGCTCATTTTATTATCAGGACAGTCTCTGGGTAATAACTCAGATGTATTGCTGTGGAAATGGCAAGGTTACAGAATAATATTTCACAGGAATATAAGCATACGATTCAAATACTTTTAAAAAAACTATATCAGTTTTTATTAACTAAAGAAGTCTCACAGCTTTGAAAAATAGTCTATTTTCAAACAAAGTGAAGAAATTTATTTTAACTGTCGATTTAATTTCTGCATGTGGCCCTATATATCAAAGAGAAATACAATTAGCATAGGTTTTTAGTATTTATAAATCAAGTGGGATGGAGAATATTAAAAAAAAAAATCTTTCACATATGAACAGATTAGGAACCTTTAAAAATGGTATTTATTTTTTCTGTTGGTATATATCAACTTATAGTTATAATTTTCTACAAACTCCCCTAGTTGTGAGGACAATCTTTGCCCTGGAAAAATGATGAGAATACTGGACAAACCTTCTCAAAAATTTTGATCAATATTCAGTAAAAGACATTTGGTATTTATATCTGCTTTTTTTTTTTTAATGTAATTTGGGTAGAAAAATGTTAATTACTTTTGGGCAGGAGCTAAAGACATCCTAGTGAGACATTTTGGAGAGAGGTCTTTCGTTAGTATAACATCTGACCTTCTATATCTTTGGAAATCATGCAACTTGGCTCATGTAGTCCTTAAAGAATTAATCAAGCAGATTGTTAGGCCCCAGTTACAGTGGAGCCAGCCAATTATGAGTTGCTCAGAAATTCATCACTGGCGTGTCCAACCACATTTTCCCACATAAAGATTAGTGGAAATATGTGGAAACAGGGCCCACCCCAGCACAGCTAAAAAATGTGGTCAGTGAAACAAATTTTAACAAAGTTTTGTCTTAGTGAAACGATTTATTTGGGAATCTTTTTGATTCCTGTCTTTACCCATAACACCTTTTCTGCCAACATTGCAAAGGCTGCCATATTTAGTTAAAACCTAACTAGGGTTTTTTAAAATATTGAAACACACTTCTGAATTCAGAGCACTAAAATCACATGCCACAAGCTTGAATTCATCAGTAAGTTAGTGAAACCCCCAAAGACCAACGCCAGTCTTCACTGTTGTGATAACGCCCGCCCAAGGCTTACTGAGAAGAAAGCTTTTCTTGCAAGAGAGAAATGAAAGGGTCCAGAGCAGATGAAGACCGGTTCTCTGAGGGCAGTGCTGCTCTTAAATAAAGAAGCTCCTTTCAGATAAGCAGAATCAGATTCCAGTTCATTTGGTTTGCTGGCTACCCTTACTTTGAACCCTCATATTTAACCCAGCAGGCTTCAAAGCAGGTGAGAAAATGACCCACCACTTAAAAGCAATTTTTCCTTTTTCAGGAATTCTGGCCTTGGAGAATATCAGCTCTAATATCAGCACATTCCACATCTCCAAGGATTTATGCAATTTTTTTTTCATTGCTCTATGTCTAATGTCAGACTAAGTTTTCATCTCAGCCAGGAGAAAAATCAGAAAAAAAAAGTCCTAACTTGCTGAAAATGAAGTTTTATTCCACATAGCTTTACACCGTACAAAAGAAGGGGGACTAAAACCACTAACCATTCTAGTTCATTCCCTTCCATTTATCAGAATCTGATGTACAGTGAATATTCTTAAAAATCATTAACCCTTACTTCCTTCCTCCACAAAAAGCAATTCTTGTTAACAAATGCATTTTAACAAATTCAAATTGGATTTACTCTAGGATGTGAGCTAATACAAAAAGATATTAGATGAAGAGATAATAACAATGGAAGAAATTTAGGAAATTTTCTTAATTTCTTTGCCTTACTAAATAGAAGAACCAATATGTTTCAAAGAAAATTCTTCACTGAGTTCTACTGTATTTGACCATCAAATATCTGACTTAATTGAAAATCCTAACATAGGCAGTTTGAAAACTTACCAATAGGTTCTGTGCTACAAGGCAGTTTGCCAGTGCCTAGAATTTTAAACATTTCTTTGCTTTCTGTGGTCTACATATACGTAATGTACCAGAAATACAGTACCAATAATATTGTTTAAATGACACCAACCACCATTTACACCACAATGTCTACGGGAAATGCGTTTTGAGTTTACTTTTAGGACATAGCTCCTCCACATGTGAGGGGAGTAGGGTTTCCCACAGAGCCGGAGCCGCACTTTGGTGATGATGATAACAATGACAGTGGCAACAACAGCAACACTCAACTAGTTTTTACTACAGCCAGACACAGCTCTAAACACCTGACATACTTTAACTCATTTAACCCTCACAAAAACCTATGAGGTAGTACTATCGCATTTTATAGTGAGGGGGAGAAAAGGTTAAGTAACAAACCCAAGGTTGCATGGCCAATAAGTGTCAGGGCTGGAATTCAAAGCAAAGCAGTCTGGCTCCAGAGCTATGCTCATAACCACTCAGCAATGCTGCCCCTTCCCTACTCTGATAAGGTGGCACCATCCAGGCCTTCTAAATTCTTCTTTTTGGGGGCAGAGTAGAGCAGGGCTTCTCAAGTTTTAGTGTGCACAGAGGGTCACCTGGGGATCTTGTTAAAACACAGATTCAGGAGGTCTGGAGTGGTGTCTGAGGTTCTGCAATTCTAACAAGCTCCTGGGTGATCACAGTGCATAGACCACACTTTATTAAGTGGTAAAGAAGTAGGATTTGCGCCTCTGTTCCTTAGCTGGCTGGCTGGCTGTTGAGGCATTTATACATATCTTTATAAGCTGAAGATTGCCCATACCATAATCATTTCCCATTAATTCTTAAATGGAACCTGCCCTTGGAACTGCTGCACACTAAATATTGGTCTGCAGATACTTTCAGTAAATACTTAGCTTTTAGGAACTTAAAATATACATGTAAAGGCCACAGGGACTGGCTGTAAAAATTTGCTGTCAGGCACATTTTTAACACTATAAACCACCAACTATACAAATATCAAAAGGTAGTAAATAAATGCCTATTTATTGTTCATCAACTAGAATCACAGTAAGTTAATAACTTTTGGTCTAAAAAAGAAGCTTCTACTTTAAAATGTATAATTATTAATTCTCAGCTCTGCTAGAGGAGTGCCAAGGCGCCTGTGCTTTGTAATCTTAAAGGCTCTTCTGGTGCATCAGTGATCTCTTAGATAAAGGCAGAAACTATATTTTTACATCAAAGGATAGAGCAGACAGTGAGTACACTCCACATAAGTTTTAGCCAATACCTCACGGACGTGCACTAGTAACAATTGCTACTCATCTATTCCAGATTCTAGATCTTCTATTTCACTCTATTTCACCTCCTTCCCACTGCTCTGAGAGAAATCCAAGGACTATCTCTTCCATTGCTTGCATATATTTTCCAGTTATTAAATGGATGGGATTCCCTTTCTAGACCATTTTTTTTTCCATGCCTAATTATACAGTAAGGTCATTTCAGTTTGAGATGCACTCACTCCCCAATCAGCACCACTGCAAACAACAGAGTTATGCTATGATCACTCAGCTTCCTTTTACACTAATAGGATAGTCAGTTTCCAATCCAAATATTGATACTCCCTGAACAACAATGGAAAGTCATCCTTCTTGAAGTTTGACCCAAAATCAAATGCAGTCTCAGACCCCTAGGCCTACAGCCAGAGGCAACTTAACACATTCTACAAATGACCTTCAGGGAAAAGGGAAACCAGTGCTCTCACTATGGGTGCCAGAAGAAAACCAACTAATTTTTAAGGCACAAAATAAACTATTTTTTTTTAGGCAGGAAAAGACATTGTGAGGAAACAGAATGGAGTTAGAATGGAGGCATTCAGAAATTACATTACCAAGTAAGGGCTAGTGTTTCTATAGTTCTCAGTACTCTTCTATTTGGGAATATAAAGAACCAGCATTTCCTTTGGGGTTTGAACTCTTATTATCTGGTAAAAATGCAAATATGTACAAGAAAGACACACTTTTTAAAATGCTTGGAGACTTAAAGAACTTATCTTTAAATCTTAATTTTACTTTGAGCCAGTGACATGAATTTATAAGTTCATGTAAAAGAGTACATAATCATGGGATATCTTTTCTAATATCAGTCCTCGTGTATTTCCTGGACCTGGGTCAGGAAATGGGAAAGTAGTTAAAAACTAAAGGGTAAAAATGAAAATAAAGGTCTATACATAGTTCTATCACCCATGGTTGGGGTAGGTCTATAAGAACATGTAGATACAATAACAGGGAGAACCTTTGATAAAGAGGCACATTGTACCCAGGGCAAATGCCCTATCTGTCCCATCTTACCTACTTATTCTCCATCTTAGCTGAACTCTTGAATTTAAAGTTCAGCAAATCCTTAAAACTAATGATTTCATTTAAATGGAAAAATCAAAAGTCTTGTTTACAAAATAGAGAATTTAAGTGCCAAAGAAAATGCATTTAAAAGGACTGAATTATTCTTTAGCTAGTAATGACTGCTATGTTTACCACAAAAAATGATTTACACAGACCAACTTTATGTTATGCCTTTGTATTCTTCAAACTTTTAAGCAACAAATATATAGTTCAAATCACCAAAACCTTATGTTTGACATATTTATGGCAGCAACTTTACAAATCAATTCCTGTAATTTACTAGAACAAATATCTCTTACTGCTCAACTGATTTAGCACAAACACATCAGAGATGGTTTTTTGTGTGTTTTACAAATACTCTACACAAGTCCTTGAGATCATACTTACAGCTTTAGCAAAAACACCCATGATTTCAGGAAACTGGTGTGTGAGAAGAGCTATCATTGCTGTAGAAGAACACAGTCCTGCTGTGAAATGGATGAAAAAAGGAAGCTCCTTCTTTGGGTAAACAGAAACATGATGAAAGGCTGCAAGGGAGAAAAGGTAGAAACAGATTTTATTTCCAAATACAGTGTAAGCCAGTTTTAATATTTTCAAATGAAATCTATTTTTCAAAACTAAAAAGGAAAATAATTAAAAAAAAAAAAAAAAAGAACAAGAAGTCTCTAGTGAAGCAAGGTAGAAGAAAATTATCCATTATTTATTCCAGCATCAACAGCATACCTATATATCCAGATGACTGTGCTGGGGACCAGGAATAGGATAGCATCATGGGAAAGAACATTAATTGTAAAGTCATGCTGAGGTGGTTTTGAAAAAGAGCTTTGTCACTTACTAGCTGTGTGATCTTGAATAAGTTGCTAAACCCTCTATTAGTTGCTATGGAGTTGTTATGATGAACACTGTAAGCCCTTAATAAATGTGAGTTATAGTTCTTGCTCTTTGGGAGTTCAGAGACCAGTACAGCGACCAGGAGACAGACATGTGATTGGAGATTTCCCAGAACCATCAATTAATAATTTTACCCAGTTATTCTATATGTGGTATTTCATTGAGCAGTGTAAAAATCAAACTAGAATACCAGCACCCTAGGACTCGGAATATAAGTGAAGTCCCTTGTGTTATTTTACCATATTCAAACATTTATTCAGGTATTATTTTTCTAATAATTGTATATTTCATTACCAATAGTAGTCAAGTATTTATATCTTATTTGAAATTTGAAAATACTTGAATAACAATGCTGAGATGAGCCTATTACAATGCCTGGCACATAGTAGGTGCTCGATAAATGTCTGTTAAATTGCTAGCTATTCTGGGACTTCATTAGTCCAGGAAGTTGACTGCTCAGAGATATAAACCCAAGAATTCCTGATGTAATATCCTGCATAAGTAAGGGATGACTAATTCAGTGTTAAATCAAGGTCAGCTATAAATTTCATTTTTTGAAACATAATGATTCACAGAGAATATTATACCCACGTTTCCTTCAGTAGCCATGATATTTTTATGTCTTATACTATATTTAGAAGGTATATACCAAAAACCAAACTCTTTAAAAATTCAGAAAATTTCCAGAGTCTTGAGTCTTGTTTAAAGTAAAAGTACATCGTCTATGACCATGCCACCCTGAATGCGCCCGATCTCACCTGATCTCAGAAGCTAAGCAGTGTCGGGCCTGGTTAGTACTTGGATAGGAGACTACCTAGGAATACCATGTGCTGTATGCGTATAGGCATTAAAAAATTAAAATAAAATAAAGTAAAATAAAATAAAATTAAAAAGTAGAAGTATATCAAATCTGAATTTTTTTAAAGTTAGAAACATGAAAACTGTGGACAACACTGTGTTTACTTTTAGCACCCCAAAAAACAGCATTCTCTTTTTCCATATCCCTTAGCTATGAGAGGCCAACTTCTTCCAGCAAAAAGAAACCGTGGTATTTGCAAAGACAGGGAACAAATACTTACAGGTACCAATGGTTATTATAATTGCTATCATGTGAGATACAGCAAAATTAATAATGTTAACTAAACTGCAGAACATTTTATGGTTTACAATGTGTTTTAATTTATATTGTTTGATTTCTTTTCAATAATCCTAAGAGATAGACAATATTATTCCCATTTTATAAAGTAGAAAACTATATAGCTTTAGTAAGATGATTTCCTAATATATGAGATTTTTATGCTGTAGGAGAGACCTAATTACTTCTTTTTGGATTGCTTTCTGTAGATTCAATTGTCAGTCAATGTTTAGCTAATACATCAATATAATGGATGACTCGTACAGAAACACTCCCTTGGAAGTCAAGTTCAAATTTCATCACTGGCTTGTAGAGAAAAATTTATCAGGAGGCATAAAAGACAACTAAATAGCTATGTGGACTAAGGGAATAGTTCAAGTTTGAAGTTATGAGGTTCATAAGCAAATTCCAGAATGCTATAAGTCATATCAAGGTTGAAAGAGAATTAAAAACAAAAAATATTAGGCACTCTTGAGTATAGAAATCCACATTATTAAAAATTTGTTCATTCTAACAGTCATAGGCAGAAAAAATACTCCAAGAACATACAATATAATCAAACAAAATGCCTCCAGCATATCTCTTCTCTCTATTCTCCTATAATTTACCAATGAGTAGTACCCTAGAAATAATAAAGGCTTGCCAAGAAGCAAACTGTCAGTTCTTATAGTCTATGACTCTAACAATACATGATAACCCTGGCATTATTTATATTACTATATAAAGTTGGCCTTATAGCAGGCAATATAATGATTTGGGGGACATTTAGGTTAAATGTATTAGCCTAATATAGTATACTCCTGAATATTCATGTTCCATAGTTAAAGATCTGTTGCTTTGCTTTAAATATCCTTGTTCCTGTTAAAATGGAAAAACAAGAAAAACTACTACTGCCGCCTTCCTAGGAAAGAAAATAAAACTTCTCTCACTAATGACCATCAAATTGCCAAAATCAATGGACTCTTCTCAGTAATTACATACCTTACTTAATATCTCAGATATGCCTTTGGAAATGTTTTCTTCCTTTTAGTTTCTAAGATATCTAGTTCTAATTCTTGTCCTGTCTCTCTGGCCACTCTTTTACTGAGTCTTCCAGACTCCTTATCAGCTACCCATTCCTTAGATATTTTTGTGCCCCCCTGGTTCCACCTTTAGTTTACTTCTCACTCTATTAAGTTTCCCTTAGTGATCTCATTCACACCTAGAAAATGGTGACTATGTAATAAAATATTTAATATTAAATTAACAATGTATATGTGTGTTTAAGGGTGAGATATAATATATGTAACATACTCAAAGCTCGAACTTATTTACTTCCCCCACTACCATTTCCACATCTGCTCCTCTTGCAGTATGATGAATTTACCATTCTTCAAGTCATCATAACCTTGGAGAGTGAGGTGCTCCCCAGTCCAGCTTCTTTATGATCTATTCCATACATACAGCACTTAACACATTGTTTATCAGTCTTTCTATTAACCTATGAGCAGCTTAGGAGTTTGGAGAAGCATAGAGAGGAAAAGATACTAATATTTAATATTTCTGTCAAGTACTTACAATCTACCTGGCATGTTTGTTTATAAGAATAAATTAATAAACTTGACTAATTTGAATAATATTTCTTGAATATCAGTTTTTATGGTACACATTATAGAGATACATAGAGGAACAATATGGAGAATCCTGGCCTTCGAGTTTACAATCTAGAAAGGGGAGAGTTCAAAGAAAGAAGAGATAACTTATCTCAGAGGATGGAGTAAAATAAAGACTCTGGGAGAAAAATATCAGCATATTTGACTTCCACAGTCTCTCTTAAATTTTTATCTAACTGAACTTTTCAGCTCATTAAGTTTGATGGTTATAAAACTGCAACTTTCCTTCCTAGACTTCAGTTCTAAAGGCCCCAGAATTGTAAAAACTGTGACACATATAAGGAAACATGGTGCTAGTGTGTATAACATTCATTATGCTTGCTTACTGGTTAAGTTATAAAAAGAAAAATTAAGCAGAACTTTACCAGTTCACAGAGAAAAACAGTCAGTGGATGATAGACAGCTGAGACAAAAAGTATAGACTATTCTCTTGAGAAGTTTGGCTTCCTGAAAGCAGGGACTGGAAGGAAACATTCTCAGCAATCATAATCCTATATATTTCTGGTTTTCTTCCTAATTCTTCGACTACATGTCTTTTTAAAAATAATGGGGAAATGTAGTCCCTCAAATTACATTCTTCTTTGTAAAGATTGTTTCGGCTATGCTAGGTCCTTTACCTCTCCATATAAATTCTGAGATCAGCTTGTCGATTTTTGCAAAATCCCAGCTAGGATTTTGATAGAGACTGTATTGAATCCATAGATCAATTTGGAAAGAATTGCCATATAAATAATATTAGGCCTTCCAATCCATAAACATGGAATTCTTCCCCATTTATTTAGATTTTCTTTAATTTCTCCCAGCAATATTTTGTAGTTTTTCGTGTGTCTTATACTTCTTTTTTTAAATGTATTCCTAAATTGCTTGTTCTTTTTGATGCTATTTTTATTGGAATTGTATTCTAAATTTCATTTTCGGATTGTTCATTGCTAGTATATAAATATGCAATTGAGTTTTGCATGTTGATATTATATCCTGCATCCTTACTGAACTTATTAGCTCTAATAGTATTTTTATGGATTTCTTAGAATTTCCTACGTAGAAGATCATGTCATCTGTAAACAGACAGTTTTACTTCTTTCTTACAAATAACAATGTCTTTTATTTCTTTTTCTTGCTTGATTTTACTGACTAGACCTTCCAGTACAATGCTTAATAGGACTGGTGAGAGCAGCATCCTTGCCTTACTCATGATCTTAGGGAGAAAGCATTCAGTTTTCTACCATTAAGTATAAAGTCGGCTGTGGGGTTTCATAGATGCTCTTTATTAGGTTGAGGAAATTCCCTTTTATTCCTGGCTTGTTCTGAATTTTTATCATGAATGGGTGTTGGATTTGTGTCAAATGCTTTTTCTGCATCTATTGTCCTTTATTCTGTTAACATGGTACATCACCTTTTCAGATGTTAAAATAACCTTGCATTTGTGAGGTATTATCATGGAGTATAATCTTTTTTATATGTTGCTGGATTCAGTTTGCTAATATTTAGTTGAGAATGTGTCTATAATCATGAGGGAAATTGTTCTATAGTTTTCTTGTAATGCCTTTGTCTGGTTTTGGTATCAGGGTAATACCGATCTTACAGAATGAGCTGAGGAGTGTTCCTTCCTCCCTTATTTCTGAAAAGAGTTTGTAAAGCATTGGTATTATTTCTTCCTTAAACTAAGATGACCGCTCTTATGATATCTTTAATTTTTGTGTCCTTCATTACATCTAGCACAGGGTTTTACCCCAAAATATTTGGGAGTGAACTATATTATACGACTACATCCAAGAAATGGCTAAAATAGTATTTAAACAGTTTCCTGAATTTCAACCAAAAGCACCTTTAAAATGGAAGAATGCTATGAAAAACAATCTCACTACTATTTTTCAGTTTAGAAAAACTAGAACATTTACTTACTAGGTAATAGCTCTCTATCAGCAGTCTCTGTGCAGCTTGGATAAGGATAAAATAGATGGCCTTTCTCTAATGGGTATGGAATCATTCTAAAAGCTGAGAAAAAAAAAAACACAAATATGGATATTCAATTCAGACTCCTTTTCATCCTATACCACAGATGAAAGCTATTTTTAGGACATATTTTTATAACATTTTCACATAGCATTTTATTTTATTTTTTAGAGATACGTTTTAGATTAAATAAACTAGGTAAGCAAAATAATAAATAAAAGAAAGAATAAGATGATTTAGAGAACAGTGAATGGTTGGGCTGGAATAAAATTAAACATAGTGGATGATAAGACTGGCCAGGTCCTTCCTACCTTAGTCTCTTCGTTACAAACACGACAGACTTTACTCTCTGGTTATGAATTCCACTTTCTACAGGAATCTTCATAAAGCTGCAGCATATGTAACAGTTGCGACCATAACTACTGGCAACTCAAAAGAGTTCTCAATAGCTCCTAACTTCACATGTGAGATGTCACCAAAGTTTTCTATGAGCAGAGCTTAATTTAGATCAGGGGCCATTCTTATGCTTTGGCCCAATGGTCCCCAACATTTTTAGCACCAGGGACCGGTGATCCTATGAGAATCTAAAGCCTAATGATCTGAGGTAGAGCTGAAGCACTGATGCTAGTGCCGGGGAGCGGCTGCAAATACAGATGAAGCTTTGCACGTCTCCTGCAGTTCAGCCCGGTTCCTAACAGGCCACGGACTGGTACTAGTCCGCAGCCTGGGGGTTGGGGACCCCTGCTTGGCCTGACTTGGCCAGCTATCTGTTTTTATAAATAAAATTTTATTAGAATACAACCATGCTTGTTCATTTACATATTACGTAAGGTTGCTTTCATGCTATTGGAGTTGGGTAGCTGTGACAGAGACTACGGCCCACAAAGACTAAATATATACCATCTGATCCTTTATGGTAAAAGGTTACCCATCCCTGATCTAGATTATTACCAACTCTAGTAGACTTCTTAAAGAAGGAACTCTTATTGATCTACTCAACTAGTTAAGTATCATCAACATTGTGAAAAGGTTTTTGCTTTTCCTTTAGTGCTTGTCTATATAAATTTTTACCAAAATACTGATTTTGTTCAGAGAACAAACTGATAGTTGCTAGATGGGAGGGGGGGTTGTGGGGCTGGATGAAAAGGTAAAGGGATTAAGAAGTACAAATTGGCAATTACAAAATAGTCACAGGGATGTAAAGTACAGCATAGGGAATATAGTCACTAATATTGTAATAACTATGGATGGTGTCAGGTGGGTACTAGACTTACCAGGGGCTCACTTCATAAGGTATAGAAATGTCTAACCACTATGCTGTATACTGGAAACTAATATAATATTGAATGTCAACAGTAACTGAAATTTTTTTTTAAATATGGATTTTGTATGACCATAATAAAAAGTAGTGATTTGTCCAAAGTCACAGAGCAAATCAGGAGTAACATTAGGAAATCATGTATTAAGACGATTATTCATGAAATGCAGTATAAATCATATATTTATTGGAAATCTCCTCTGTGCCAAGCAAAAAGCTAGGCACTGAAGACACATACAAGATGAATGAGACAGAGTACTTGGTTTTGAGGAGCTTACGGAGTACTGGGGGGAAAAGCAAAAGAAATCTAATAACCCAAAGACATTCAGCTCCTCAGTTTTAGTTGCTCCAGTTTTCTTAATCTGTGTATTGTCAGTGTCAAGCTCAGTTTCTGACCCTGAGCAAATGGTTAAGGCAGGTAGAGGTTCCCAAATGTCCTTGGTTCAAGGACACATGGTGCCCTTTCCATCTCAGTAATTTTTTATGATGATCCTAAGCTGAAGGAAATATCTAATAATTGCACTTATTAAGTAGTGGATTCAAACAACTATAAACGTTTATGTTCTAACAGTTTAGCAGTGATTTGGAAAAAAAATGCACATAAATTAAAAGGAAAAATAGTTATATAATTTTATATAACCATCATTTCTTACTAATGGGAAACATGATCCTGCTGGGTACTGCACAAATTCTCAAACCTTGATATCAGATTGGACAGCACCACCCTCATTTTCTGTTCCACAGAGATTTATGTGTGATACTTGTTTTAATCACAGCAACAAAAACCCAGCTCTGCAAAGCTATCACATGGAAAAGAATAGAGAGTCACCTAATTGTGAAATGATAAACTATTTAGAGTAATAGTTTGAATGGTGTCTGACAGGTGTTGATATTGCTGTATTTCCACTAAAATTTTAATATATCCGGTGCCACTCTTATGAGCTTGCTGCAATACCCACAAGGTGCCTAAGTGCAAAATTTGCTAACTGAGAGGGTTAACCAATTTTAGTGATGAGCGGTGAATTTATTTTTTAATTTTTATTGATAGCAGAGATATATTTTTCAAGAGAACTATTATAAGAATTTAACTGATAAAATATTTTGATTAAGCTTCTTCATTTTCTTAGTGATTTTGAAAAGTTACAAATAAGAGATCTAGTAGTTGAAAAACAGTTCAATTCTCCAGTGAAGATATACAAATAGCCAATTAGCACATAAAAAGATGTTCAACATCACTAACATTAGGGAAATGCAAATAAAAACCACTGAGATACCACTTCACAGCCATTGTGATGGCTATAATCAAGAAAACAGAAAATAGTAAGTGTTGGTGAGGATACAGAGAAAGTGAAACATTTGTGCATTGCTAGTGGAATATAAAATGGTACAACTGATGTAGAAAATAGTATGGCACTTCTTCAAAACATTAAACATAGAATTATATGATTTAGCAATTCCACTTCTGGGTATATACACAAAAGAACTGAAAGCAGAAATTTGAACAGGTATTTGTACACCCATGTTCATAGCAGCATTATTCACAATAACTAAACGGTAGAAACAACTTGTTCATCATCGACAAATGAATGTATAAACAAAATGTGGTATATATGCAGAGAATGAAATATTATTCAGTCTTAAAAAGGAATGAAATTCTAATACGTGCTATAACATTATGCTAAATGAAATAAGCCAGGTATAAAAAGACAAATGTATGATTCTACTCTATGAGATACCTAGACTAGTCAAACTCATAGAGATAGAAAGTAGAACCATTACTAGAGTCTGGGGAAGAGGGAAGAATGGAAAGTTATTGTTTAATGAACATAGAATTTCAGTTTGGGATGATAATAATTTATGGGGATGGATGATGGTGATGGCTGCACAACAATGTGAATGTATATAAATACTACTGAACTGTATATTTTAAAATAGTTAAAATGGTAATTTTTATGTTACATATACTTTACTACAATAAAAAATTTTAAAAATAGCATTGGTATTAGTTGTGAGAAAAATAGTTTCATGTTATACACATCTGACATCAAAACAACAAAAATAATAGTCCAATTTAAAAAAATATTAGAATAGCTCAACCACTAAAAAGATTATAAACCAAGATATGTATGTTTTCATTTTCTTTCCTTACAAATATGTAATTTAAATGGACACATGGCAGAATAGCATAACAGTTTCTCATTCTGCTTTTCCTAAATGTGGCATCAATATAAGTACATTAAGCATCTATTCTAGCAATAAACCAAATATAACACCACTGAGTTCACTTTGAAACTAATCAACAACAAATCCTTATGGAAACTCAATCTCATTTAAAAGGACTACCTGTGAGCGCAATGAATAGTCAGAGACATGAGTGTTACATGTGGAAAAGAATACTTACTGCCTTCCCACGTACACTGCAACAGATTAAGAGCGCCTTCTATTCGCTTCCAGTGCTGAAGATGAAAGAAAGCATAGGCAATTGCTTCACTATCACCCCGTTTCAGAATATGTTCTGGAGGTAAAATTAGACTTTTCATCTCCAGTAAATACTAGAAAAATAACATACACACACAGAGACACATCACAAAAAAAAATTATGTTAAATTCAAATGCCCACAAAAATATACATTCAAATTTTATAAACTCGATTTTATTTACAAAAGAAACTTTAACCTAAGTTGAAATAACATGAAGGTCCTACTGGCAACACGTGTATAAAATGCTTTAGAAGCAAATTCCAAAGATTGGAATATTTCTATAGGTAAAAATAAGGAGAGAAATGGCTTATATGTGACCTTGCTAAATACAAAATGGAAACTCAAGCTGAGGAAATGTGAGAGCAAATATTAATTTTTCCAAAAAATAATTACATGCAAAATTCATAAAATACAATTTTAAAACATTTTGTGGCAACATTCAATTCTTTTTTTCTTTTATTCCCATTTTATAGGTGAAAGATCTTAATTATGAAGAAGTTCAATTAAATTAATATGTACCAAGTACAAAGCACTATGCTTATCAGGAAATACCAAAACACATTCTATTTTTTGGAGCTTCCTAATATAATGAAAAAGACACATTTCTTAAGTTAATAATTATAACCAGACTGTACTGAATGTTTTATTAGAGGTATTAACAATGTATATAAGAATATGGATAGGCAGTATTAATTTTAATTAATTTATTGAGATGTAATTCACATATTTTAAAATTCACCCATTTAAAATATACAACTCATATATATGTGCAACTATCACCACAGTCAATTTTAGAATATTTCCACCACCTCAAAAGGAAATCCTGTACTCTTCAGTTATTACCCTCTACTCCACCATCTCCCTAAGCCCTGAGCAAACACTAATCTACTTTCTGTCTCTATAGATTTGCCTATTCTGGATATTTCATACAAATAAAATCATATAATACATGGTCTTTGGTAAGTGGCTTCTTTCACTTAGCATAATTTTTTCGAGGCATATCTATGTTGCACTATATATCAGTATTTCATTCCTTTTTTTTTTTGGCTGAATAATATTCCATTGTGTGGATAGAACACATATGTTTACCCATTTATCGTTTGATGGGTATTTAGCTGTTTTCACCTTTTTGGCTATTTTGAATAATGCTGCAAAAAAACATTGGCGTACCAGTTTTTACGTAAATATGTTTTCCTCACTCTTGAGTATACACCTAGTTGTAAAATTGCTGGGTTAGATGGTAATTTTTACATTTAGGAGGTATTAATTCTGATTTAGGGGCTAAAAATAAACCACGATGGAATTTGAAATTTGAGCTGATGAAGATGGACAGAATATGGATGAGCAGATTGGGGGTTGGGGTGGGTAGAAAAACAGGAGGATATAGTCAAAGTATAGGGCCTACTTGAAAAAAAGCACTGAGCCAAGAGAGCATAGTGTAAGATTCATTTAAGGGATTAGTGAGTGTGCCTGTTAAAGAAGTTATAGACTATCAATTCTTATTCATATATGAAATTAAATTCTATCTTAAACTCTTGAAGAAAATACTTGCCTTAATATTATAATCCATAATAAAAGCAGTACAATCACAGTTATAACACTAATCAAATGTACTAATTACACAAAGAAAAATGCTAAATTAACTACTTATACATCATCTTTACTACTAAAATGGTCAATTTAAAACAAAATATTTTAAAAAATATTTCGTTAGTTAAATACTTGCAAAGACTTCCTCTACTGAAATAGGTTTGAAACAACCTCTTTGGTTCTAAATAATTTGTTATTAAATAATGTGTCATAAGGTCCAAACCACATTAACTTCTGTTATAAAATGTAAAAAGAGAAACATTCCAGAGGTGTCTCAAAAGATATATTCTCACATTTCAAATTCTAAATTCCTCAGATTGTTACATAAACTAATGAGATAAACAACATAGAGTTGAATTTGTGAAAAACACTTTGTAAAACTGCTACAAGCAGGAAGAATCTTAAAAATAAAAAGTTGCAATGGTTTCAAAATTTAAACCTTATGTTATTACTCAATATATATGTACACATATTAATATATCTAAAATAAATTTTTCTTATGAAATGTGCCTTTCCAACACTTACTGAGGTTAATACCCATCTTTAATTACTCCTACTCCTATATCTTAATAAAGTTGAAATTAAAAAAAAAAAAAAGAATTACTCTTAGTTTTGATATATCTTGCTTTCTCTTCAAAGTGTAAGAATGCAATCTGCTCATCAATTTATTTTAGTAGATGTCACAAACTATGAGATTATTTACTAATCCAGTTTGGGGACTTAACATTTCCCATTCAGTTTCTTAAAGGAATGCAGCAGAGGTTGTGTCCTGGTCAAGCAAAGCCCATTTGCTGCCTGGTTGGGTTCTCTCCCCTTAGTGCCTTGGGCCTATATTCAGGAGGGTAATATTCTTTCTAATCCTCTCTAATCCTTGCCCATTTTTTTAAAACACAGTAAAAGATCACTCACACCAGGCGGCTGTGGGAAAATGGACTCAAATAGCTGACCCTTGACATGACTCCTTATGCTCTATCCAAGTACACGAAGAGCTTCTTCAGTAGGAAGCAAAGAAAATGCGGCAATCACAGTGAAATCTCCATCATAAAAAAGAGTATCTCATTTTCAAAAGAAAGCTGTTTAACACTTAAACCAACTCCTTTCTATTAAAATTCTGTCTAATTTTACAGATAGAGGAGATAATATATATCAATTATTTTCAATGAGTTTTAGAACCCTGAAGCTTTAAACTAAACCCTATCTTGGTAGCCACTTAGCAAAGAGTAAACAAAGATATTCGGTTAACAATTATTCAGTAAAATTTATAGAAAATGTCAACTTAATATTTTTTTGAACAGCAACTATACATCTATATTATCACCATTTAATAATCTAAGTGACAATTCAGATAGTAATCGAACACATATGGTATGCTTATTAGGAAATACTTCAGAAGTTTATATTAAAAAATCTTTGCTATTTAATCATTAAAAAAAAATCTTCCTTATGCTATCTTATTTTTTATTATCATGTCTTACCTACCAGCAAATGTCATTTCCAATTTGACTTTAAAGCTAATCAAATCTTATTTTTCAATTTCTAATAAGGCACTGAAATAAAATTTCACCCTCAAAAATAAGGGAAAATTTCAGTTTAAGGTATTTAAAGTAATTATAGGATTATTACTTATTTTATCTTCCTACAAACTGCTACTAAGGAATTTCTGCTACCCAACATAAGCTGTTAAGTTACCACACAATCGAAAACATATTCTTCATATTCTACTATAGCACCTAACACATTATACTACCCAAAGTAGGCACTAAAATACTTATTAATTGATTTGATCTGAGTTATATAACTAAAATGACTTCAAAATCATATTTCAGTTTTTCCTAAGATATATATATTTTAGGCAAGGCAACCCTTGGTTGACCTCACAGATTGCAAGGACCTTGTCAGCTTATAATCCCTTACTTTTTTTTATTTTTAATTTTTACGCCTACAGCACCTGGTCTTCCGAGGTGGTCTCCCATCTAAGTACTAACCAGGCCCGACCCTGCTTAGCTTCCGAGATCAGATGGGATCAGGCTTGTTCAGGGTAGCATGGCCCCGAACAAGAGATATTTTCTAACTCTCTGGGAAAAACAAAACAAAAACAAACAAAAAAAATCTACTATCCAGGCTACTTTTCTATGAAGGAAAATGTGAAAATTTAAAAACTGAAGGGTGTTTGGTTTCGGAAATTTTTGGCCTTTTTTCCTGCTTATAAAACTACATGCTCTGTGTACAAAAAATGCAAACACTGCAGAGTTACACAGTAGAAAATAATACAAGATTGAAGAATAAAAGAATAAAGAAAATAAAGATAATCTGATTTATGTTATGTCTAATTTCTTTATGCATAACATAATTGACCTTTTCTTAAAAATAGAATCAAGCTGTTATGCAACTCACTTTTTACTTTATGATACATCTTATACATTTCTTCCTGTCTCTATATAAATCTAACTCATTATTTTTTATTATTGTATAATATTCCATTAAAAGCTGAGTTATTTTATAAGTTCAGATTTAAAGTCATGCTGGAATTGTACTACCATTCTTAAAAGGTCAAAAATGATATCGTTAAGCAAATCTCATAAAAATAGTAAAGTAAAAGTAAAATATAGAAAAATTATTAAAAATAGGAATATAAAATAGTAAAAACTCATAAAAATAAGATGGCTTAAAAATTCCCAAATCTGATGGGGTCTAAAATTTTATTTTTTAAAAAACTTACACAGGCCTTTATAACAATGCAGATCTAAACTAAAGAAATGTCTATTTACCAAATATTTATTGAATGTCTGTTATGTGCTAGGCAGAGTATCAGACATAAAATGAGAAAGACAAGAATTCTGCTTTTTAAAAAGCTCACAGGAAACTAAGGGAGATATATACAAAGAGACAAAAAAAAGGTATGATTAAGGTACTGAAGGAACAGAGAGCCATTATCTCTGTTTAGGAAAAGTAGGAGACATCTCTATAAAGGAGGCAACAGATGAACAGTGTCTTAAAGAATGAGCAGAAACTTGCCAAGTAGAGAAGAGTTTGAGCATATATACAAAGGTAGGTAGGGAGATATGATGAGAAATTACCAAATCCAGGAAGCAGTGATGCTGGAGATAAGGAGCAAGGCAGAAGTGGCAAGGGGTAAGGTTGGAAACGGATACTAGGCTCAGACTGTGAAGAGCTTCAATATAAGCAACACTAAGGGACTGGTCCTTATTTTATAAGCGATAGGGAACAAGAAGAGCTCTTTTTAGGCAGAGTAAGATTTGCTACTTAGGTAGCTAACTCTGACAACAACCAGAATGGAGAGGGGCCAATGGCAGGGAGACCAGTAAGGAATTTGTTTTAATAGTCCAAGCAAGAGATGGTAAACAAACTTACATTTAGAGATGCATAGAAAATGTCTGGCAATATATAAGCCTAGGAGAAAGAACGGTTACTTGAGAGAAGTAGAATTGGAAGAGAAAGAATGGAATATTTTACTTTGTAAA